GCTGGTTAGACTTGCGTGAAAGAACATTTTTCCTTTGGTATGGATCAACTGATACGACCCCTTGGCCCTTAGCCATCTGGCCTGGCCTGAGGATGAAACTACTTCATAACATATCAACCACTGTACTGTAGGTTAACCTCTTCATAACATGCTCAAATAACACAATGTAAAAGTATGAAAATCCACAGTAATCAATATGCTAATATAAAATAAATGGTAAATTACTGTAAAGGCAACAATAAGTCAAGTAGTGATGGTAAAGGTAGGCTACATATCAAGGCCAGAGATAAAGACAAAGCCTTGACTTTCTCACAATGGCTGTCATTGGTACATTGCATCGAATGACAGACATTCAATGATTAAATCAAAACTATGATTGCAATGTGCAATCTGCTGCATTTGCTGAGGTCATTGAGTTTGGATTGAATCCAGAATAAGTGTTTCATTTTTGTCTTGTACGTAGACTAAGGTTGTGTCTTAATATTCTGAATATGTATGAAACATGAGAAGGTGCACAATTAACAGTTGGCACAAATACTGTCAGTTTGTTTGTGTGTGTTCTTGCGTTCTTAGATCTTGCCTGTAGAAATGTTGGTGATAGTCACTTGCTACTGTAGTTAGTACTGTAGTCAGTATTACTGTAGTTATTTCATAGTTTGATTTCAGTGTATTTTGATCAGTACAATACTTTCTTGGTATATAGAGATTGGTGATTTCAGATCATCTACAGGTCTGTCTTTGGATCTTGATTGCAGTGCAATTTTGAGAATCTGCCAAGTTTAAGAATGAGCTGATCTTTCTTTAATCTGTAGCAGTTCTGTCTGGTTCCTCTCATCTGTCAAGAAGGGTAGAAGGATTACTTTATCCTATCCCAGGTATTCCTTAAAGAGGTGGGGTTTCAAATGTCTCCGGAAGGTGGTGAGTGACTCCGCTGTCCTGGCGTCGTGAGGGAGCTTGTTCCACCATTGGGGTGCCAGAGCAGCGAACAGTTTTGACTGGGCTGAGCGGGAACTATGCTTCCGCAGAGGTAGGGGAGCCAGCAGGCCAGAGGTGGATGAACGCAATGCCCTCGTTTGGGTGTAGGGACTGATCAGAGCCTGAAGGTACGGAAGTGCCGTTCCCCTCACAGCTCCGTAGGCAAGCACCATGGTCTTGTAGCAGATGCGAGCTTCAACTGGAAGCCAGTGGAGTGTGCGGAGGAGCGGGGTGACGTGAGAGAACTTGGGAAGGTTGAACACCAGACGGGCTGCGGTATTCTGGATGAGTTGTAGGGGTTTAATGGCACAGGCAGGGAGCCCAGCCAACAGCGAGTTGCAGTAATCCAGACGGGAGATGACAAGTGCCTGGATTAGGACCTGTGCCACTTCCTGTGTAAGGCAGGGTCGTACTCTCCGTATGTTGTAGAGCATGAACCTACAGGATCGGGTCACCGCCTTGATGTTAGCGGAGAACGACAGGGTGTTGTCCAGGGTCACGCCAAGGCTCTTCGCACTCTGGGAGGAGGACACAACGGAGTTGTCAACCGTGATGGCAAGATCATGGAACAGGCAGTCCTTCCCCGGGAGGAAGAGCAGCTCCGTCTTGCCAAGGTTCGGCTTGAGGTGGTGATCCGTCATCCATACTGATATGTCTGCCAGACATGCAGAGATGCGATTCGCCACCTGGTTATCAGAAGGGGGAAAGGAGAAGATTAGTTGTGTGTCGTCAGCGTAGCAATGATAGGAGAGGCCATGTGAGGATATGACAGAGCCAAGTGACTTGGTGTATAGCAGACCTCAAAGAAACGTCCTTTACTGAGAAATGAGTAAAGAATAGAATACAGAAATCTCTCCACACAGGGAGGAACTAACCCGCTCACAAACGACACACAAAACAACCAAGCACAAAACACATTGGGAGCCACTGGGTTAAATAGGGAAGGCGTGATTACAATAATGGGCAACAGGTGTGTGACAATAGACAACAGGTGCAACATAGAAACATAGAACATAGATCGGCAGCAGCTAGTATTCCGGTGACGACGAACGCCGAAGCCTGCCCGAGCAAGGAGGAGGGGCAGCCTCGGCAGAATCCGTGACATCATCTGAGTTACTAATGGCAGGTGCCTATTGTACAGACCTACAGGTACATCCATCTGGCACACAACAAATCACTGTCAGGCCAAGTACTTAGTATAGTTGGATTGAATCCTCATTACCACATATTATATCTCCCCAAGAGGCTTTGTTTACTCTGAAATGGAAAGTATGAGTTAGCAATAGCACCGTTGCGTTGTGTAGTCTGTGTGCTTTGCGTGCGAAATGATTTTCCCCCACCCTTCCAGAGAGAACAGCAGATGGTGCATGCTGAGGTTATCAAACAAGAATCCCAGCCAGCAGTTCACTCCTAGACTTTGGGACAGGGTCAAACAGCTGTTTGTCACAATGACAATTTTGGACAGAGGACATCGTACGCCATAGTTTATTTATAGTCTTAGTAAAGGTACTGACATCCTATTGTGAACTTTAGCTTCTCTACTTGAGCTGAGCTGGTTGAGTCACTGGGTTGATATGCTTCAGGACATTTTATGATATGCTTCAGGACATATGATGAAGATATATCAATTTGTTTTCCCTCTTGATTCAAAATCACACAAAAATTATCAATGGAAATCAAATTTGTCAACCCATGGAGGTCTGGATTTGGAGTCACCCTCAAAATTAAAGTGGAAAACCACACTACAGGCTGATCCAACTTTGATGTAATGTCCTTAAAACAAGTCAAAATGAGGCTCAGTAGTGTGTGTGGCCTCCACGTGCCTGTATGACCTCCCTACAACGCCTGGGCATGCTCCTGATAAGGTGGCGGATGGTCTCCTGAGGGATCTCCTCCCAGACCTGGACTAAAGCATCCGCCAACTCCTGGACAGTCTGTGGTGCAACGTGGCGTTGGTGGATGGAGCGAGACATGATGTCCCAGATGTGCTCAATTGGATTCAGGTCTGGGGAACGGGCGGGCCAGTCCATAGCATCAATGCCTTCCTCTTGCAGGAACTGCTGACACACTCCAGCCACATGAGGTCTAGCATTGTCTTGCATTAGGAGGAACCCAGGGCCAACCGCACCAGCATATGGTCTCACAAGGGGTCTGAGGATCTCATCTTGGTACCTAATGGCAGTCAGGCTACCTCTGGCGAGCACATGGAGGGCTGTGCGGCCCCCCAAAGAAATGCCACCCCACACCATGACTGACCCACCGCCAAACCGGTCATGCTGGAGGATGTTGCAGGCAGCAGAACGTTCTCCACGGCGTCTCCAGACTGTCACGTCTGTCACATGTGCTCAGTGTGAACCTGCTTTCATCTGTGAAGAGCACAGGGCGCCAGTGGCGAATTTGCCAATCTTGGTGTTCTCTGGCAAATGCCAAACGTCCTGCACGATGTTGGGCTGTAAGCACAACCCCCACCTGTGGACGTCGGGCCCTCATACCACCCTCATGGAGTCTGTTTCTGACCGTTTGAGCAGACACATGCACATTTGTGGCCTGCTTGAGGTCATTTTGCAGGGCTCTGGCAGTGCTCCTCCTGCTCCTCCTTGCACAAAGGCGGAGGTAGCGGTCCTGCTGCTGGGTTGTTGCCCTCCTACGGCCTCCTCCACATCTCCTGATGTACTGGCCTGTCTCCTGGTAGCGCCTACATGCTCTGGACACTACGCTGACAGACACAGCAAACCTTCTTGCCACAGCTCGCATTGTGCCATCCTGGATGAGCTGCACTACCTGAGCCACTTGTGTGGGTTGTAGACTCAGTCTCATGCTACCACTAGAGTGAAAACACCGCCAGCATTTAAAAGTGACCAAAACATCAGCCAGGAAGCATAGGAACTGAGAAGTGGTCTGTGGTCACCACCTGCAAAACCAGTCCTTTATTGGGGTGGTCTTGCTAATTGCCTATAATTTCCACCTGTTGTCTATTCCATTTGCACAACAGCATGTGACATTTATTGTCAATCAGTGTTGCTTCCTATGTGGACAGTTTGATTTCACAGAAGTGTGATTGACTTGAAGTTACATTGTGTTGTTTAAGTGTTCCCTTTATTTTTTTGAGCAGTGTAGTTATCGTTACTCATTGTGTATTTATTCCTCGTGTTATTATCTTTCTATTATTTTTTTATTTTTTCTCTCTGCATTGTTGGAAAGTAAGCATTTCACTGTTAGTCTACACCTGTTGTTTATTAAGCATGTGGCAAATACAATTTGATTTGATTTGGAAAAAATATTCTCTCATGTGTCGTTTCCAATCGGATTTTGAGAGGATTTGCTTGATAAGAGCTGCCCCACATATGTTTATTATTCTCTAGTATCCCCAGTGTTACATACTTACAATAGAGCATCCCCACGCCAGCTATAACAAGTGGATCACAGCAACTAGGATTATGTAAACTAATGAAGTCCAGCTGTGAAAAGCCACAGGTTCTGATTCATCATTGTGGCGATTCCTTGTCTGGTGTTTAACCATTTGATAGTGAGGTCTCTCTATATAACCACATTATTTATCCCCGGGACAGAAAGGAGTGATATCATCAAAGAGGATCTGTACTGGTATAAAGAACAGCCCATCCCACTGGGCACATACTGGTTGACTCAACATTGTTTCCACTTCATTTCAATGAAATGATCCAACGTGGAATAGACATTGAATTGATGTCTGTGCCCAGTGGGATGTGACTCCCTAGGACCAGGATACCCCTCAATACTTATAGCTTCGGAACCAAGAGAGTATTGTACTTGGTACAGTGTGTAGTCTAATTATGTTTGTATACATACTGTAGCTACCCTTGTGTTACCTAGTGTAACTGTCTACATTACTGTAGATGGAGAGTGTGTTTGAAAGGTGTATAATGTTCTGTGCACTGTACATCATAAACATATTAATGTACAGTAGAGGCAAGAGTGTGTAACACTGTCTTTCTCTTTCAGATGAGAGGCAAGGTACCCTCAGGTTGAGTAACCTCACTAAGAGCATGTCAGGGAAATATGTGTGCCGAGCTAGCAACACTGCCGGCTCTGACACTTGCTCTATCAACCTGGAGGTCTTCACCTGTAAGTATAGCAAAGTAACACACACAATCTCATATTAGTATATACAGACTGCTCTTGTTTCCTTTTTGAAGCCTCTCTGTGTGTCCTCTTCCACAGCCTCTAATGCTGGAGCGATTGCTGCTGCTACTCTGGGGTCCATCGTGGGACTGTTAGCCATCATACTCGTCCTCATCTTCATGCTGAGGAGGAGAGACCACGAAGAGGAGGAGATAGCCAATGATATCAAGTGAGGTTTTGTCTGTGTTTGTGTGTGTTATTGTAAAATCAGGTGCAGTTGTTAAACACCACGGGATGTACAACTACTAGCACTCTACCATGGACGATGCAGGTGTTCTAATTCAATTTCTGCAGGTTGGTGGTTGGAGGATGTGTGTAGCATGTGATATGATCTTGGTTGGTGTTTTCTCATTGGCTGTCTGTCTATCCATCACAGGGAGGATGCCCAGGCACCCAAGCGTGTTTCCTGGGCAAAGAGTGGCACAGGCTCAGATATCATCTCCAAAAATGGCACGCTGTCGTCCATAGCCACGAGCCCCCATCTGCGAGACCCCCAGCAGCCCAACAACTTCCCCTACCCCACTGCCCCGGTCTGTGACACAGGCTCTGTGCTCAACGCCTACCGCCTTCGGCCTGGAGAGCCCAACCCCCTGCAGGGCCTCCCAGGGTACATCAGTGGTACACCTCCACCCGGGCACACCAGACCCCTCTGTGTTACTAACAACATTGATGCCACCTCTCCACACGGGCACAGTCGACCCCCCAGTTCTAACCACATCAGTGGGACTCCACACCCTGGCCACACCCGGCCCCTCAGCACTAGGATCATTGTTGACACCTCCCCCCAGGAGCACAGTCGACCCCCAAGTTCTAACAATATCGTTGCCCCCTCTCCACATGGGCACAGCAGACCACCAAGCTCGAACCACATCAGTGGTAGCGCTCCACACAGGCACAGCCGACCCCCCAGTTCCAACCACAGCCGACCCCCCAGCATCAGTAGCATGCCTCACTATGGACACAGCAGATCCTCCAGTTCCAACGGTGCCCCACCCCATTCCCCACCTGGCCACATGGTCACAGACCCCGACAAGACTGAGGGGGCCCAGCCCCAGGTACCACGCCCTCTCACCTCGCCCATCAGCTCCGCCACCCTGGCCCGTATGGGTGCTGTGCCCGTCATGGTGCCCGCTCAGAGCCAGGCTGGATCACTGGTATAGCCCACTGGAGGGTCTCCCGTTTTACTACTGAGCACAAAAAAACTGAAGCAAATGGATAAAGACTTCCTCAAAAGGAAGATTGCATAGAGGAGAGAAGGGTTTGCTTGGAATTAAAAACACTTTTTTATTGTGATCGTTCAAAATAATGTTCAGAGTAGAATGAAGAGCTCATGCTAAAGACACTTGTGGAATCCACTGTATTCAAGTCTGCACAAGTTCAAAGACTTACTTGATTTGTTTTTATTATTTTAGCTGTTTTCAAATCTTTTTTGCTAAATATATAATGTTTTTGTTTTTATTTGCCATGCTCAGATTCTTTAAGGTTAAACAAGGCCTATTCTATATTCTTTAAGGCCTTTTATAAACTGGGTGGGTGGAACCCTGAATGTTGATTGGCTGGCAGCCCTGGTATATCAGACTGTGTATCTTTTTACTGCTCTAATTATGTTGGTAACCAATTTATAATAGCAATAAGGCACCTTGGGGGTTTGTGGTATATGGCCAATATACCACGGCTAAGGGCTGTATCCAGGCACTCCGTGTTGCGTCGTGGATAAGAATAGCCCTTAGCCATGGTATATTAGCCATACACCACACCCCCATCAGGGCTTATTGCTTAATTATTATCTAAAACACTTTTTTTTTAACAAGTTGTTTGAGAAGAGGTTGTTGAATCGGTATACAGTGCATTCGGAAAGTATTCAGACCCCTTGACTTTTTCCACATTTTGATACGTTACAGCCTTATTCTAAAATGGATTAAATAAATATTTGGCCTCATCAATCTACACACAAAACCCCATAATGACAAAGCGAAAACAGGTTTTTGGAAATTGTTGCAAATGTATTAGAAATGTAAAACAGAAATACCTTATTTACATAAGTATTCAGACCCTTTGCTATGAGACCTGAGATTGAGCTCAGGTTGCATCGTGTTTCCATTGATCATCCTTGAGATGTTTCTACAACTTGATTGGAGTCCACCTGTAGTAAATTCAATTGATTGGACATGATTTGGACAAAAAGAAATTACAAAAATGTAAATTTGGAAAGGCACACACCCACAGTTGACAGTGCATGTCAGTGCAAAAACCAAGCCATGAGGTAGAAGGAATTGTCCGTAGAGCTCCGAGACAGGATTGTGTCGAGGCACAGATCTGGGGAAGGGTACCAAAACATTCTGCAGCATTGAAGGTCCCCAAGAACACAGTGGCTTCCATCATTCTTAAATGGAAGAAGTTTGGAACCACCAAGACTCTTCCTAGAGCTGGCCGCCTGGCCAAACTGAGCAATCAGGGGAGAAGGGCCTTGGTCAGGGAGGTGACCAAGAACCTGACAGAGGTCCAGTTGTTCTGTGGAGATGAGAGAACCTTCCAGAAGGATAACCATCTCTGCAGCACTCCACCAATCAGGCCTTTATGGTAGAGTGGCCAGACGGAAGCCACTCCTCAGTAAAAGGCACATGACAACCCACATGGAGTTTGACAAAAGGCACCTAAATGACTCTCAGACCATGAGAAACAAGATTCTCTGGTCTGATGAAACCAAGATTGAACTCTTTGGCCTGAATGGCAAGCGTCACGTCTGCAGGAAACCTGGCACCATCCCTACGGTGTAGGATGGTCGTTGCAGCATCATGCTGTGGGGATGTTTTTCAGTGGCAGGGACTGGGAGACTAGTCAGGTTCGAGGGAAAGATAAACGGCGCAAAGTACAGAGAGATCCTTGATAAAAACCTGCTCCAGAGCGCTCAGGACCTCAGAATGGGGCGATGGTTCACCTTTCAACAGGACAACGACCCTAAGCACACAGCCAAGACAACGCAGGAGTGGATTCGGGACAAGTCTCTGAATGTCCTTGAGGGCCCAGCCAGAGCCCGGACTGGAACCCGATCGAACATCTCTGGAGAGACCTAAAAATAGCTGTGCAGCGACGCTCCCCATCCAACCTGACAGAGCTTGAGAGGATCTGCAAACAAGAATGGGAGAAACTCCCCAAATACAGTTGTGCCAAGCTTGCAGCGTCATACCCATGAAGACTCTAGGCTATAATCGCTGCGAAAGGTGCTTCAACAAAGTACTGAGTAAAAGGTCTGAATACTTATGTATTGTGTGTAGATTGTGTGTAGATTGATGAGGGAAAAAAACAATTTTATCAATTTTAGAATAAGGCTGTAACGTAACAAAATGTGGAAAAAGTCAAGGGGTCTGAATACTTTCTGCACTGTTTTGACAGGTTTGACTTATATACATTATATGTAAAATGATGTTTGTTATACAGTACCAGTCAACATTTTGGACACACCTACTCATTCAAGGGTTTTTCATTATTTTTTATATTTTCTACATTGTAGAATAATAGTGATGACATCAAAACTATGAAATAACACATATAGAATCATGTAGTAACCAAAAAAGTGTTAAACAAATCTAAATATATTTTAGATTTTAGATTCTTCAAAGTAGCGACCCTTTGCCTTGATGACAGCTTTGCACACTCTTGGCATTCTCTCAACCAGCTTAATAAGTAATGGTTTTCCAACAGTCTTGAAGGAGTTCCCACATATGCTGAGCACTTGTTGGCTGCTTTTCCTTCTCTCTGCGGTCCAACTCATCCCAAACCATCTCAATTGGGTTGAGGTCGGGTGATTGTGGAGGACAGGTCATCTGATGCAGCACTCCGTCACTCTCCTTCTTGGTCAAATAGCCCTTACACAGCCTGGAGGTGTGTTGGGTCATTGTCCTGTTGATAAACTAATGATAGTCCCACTTTGCAAACCAGATGGGATGGCGTATCGCTGCAGAATGATGTGGTAGCCATGCTGGTTAAGTGTGCCTTGAATTCTAAATAAATCACAGACAGTGTCACCAGCAAAGCATCCCCACATCATCACACCTCCTCCTCCATGCTTCACAGTGGGAACTACACATGCGGAGATCATCTGGTCACCTACTCTGCGTCTCACAAAGACACGGCGGTTGGAACCAAAAATCTCAAATTTGGACTCATCAGACCAAAGGACAGATTTCCACCAGTCTAATGTCCATTGCTTGTATTTCTTGGCCCAAGCAAGTCTCCTTTTCTTATTGGTGTCCTTTAGTAGTGGTTTCTTTGCAGCAATTTGACCATGAAGGCCTGATTCACGCAGTCTCCTCTGAACAGTTGATGTTGAGATGTGTCTGTTACTTGAACTCTGTGAAGCATTTATTTGGGCTGCAATTTCTGAGGCTGGTAACTCTAATGAACGTATCCTCTGCAGCAGAGGTAACTCTGGGTCTTTCTTTCCTGTGGCGGTCCTCATGAGAGGCAGTTTCATCATAGCGCTTGATGGTTTTTGCGACTGCAGTGAAGAAACTTTCAAAGTTCTTGAAATTTTCCAGATTGACTGACCTCCGTGTCTTAAAGTAATGATGGACTGTCGTTTCTCATTGCTTATTTGAGCTGTTCTTGCAATAATATGGACTTGGTCTTTTACCAAAAAGGGCTATCTTCTGTATACCCCCGTACCTTGTCACAACACAACTGATTGGCTCAAACGCATTAAGAATGAAAGAAATTCCACAAATTAACTTTTAAGAAGGCCCACCTGTTAATTGAAATGCATTCCAGGTGACTACCTCATGAAGCTGGTTGAGAGAATGCCAAGAGTGTGCTAAGCTGTCATCAAGGCAAAGGGTGGCTACTTTGAAGAATCTCAAATATAAAATATATTTTGGTTTAGCACTTTTTTGGTTACTACATGATTCCATATATGTTATTTCATAGTTTTGATGTCTTCACTATTATTCTACAATGTAGAAAATAGTAAAAATAATGATAAACCCTGGAATGAGTAAGTGTGTCCAAACTTTTAACTGGTACTGTATGCCTATTATGACATATTGACATGGACATTGATAAGGGAGGTGTTGTCTGGAGAGAACATATGCTCATCAACTCACTACACTATCATGTTGACACTTTAAGCACATCACTGCTCATAGAGATGGGTTAAACATTTAATTTCACACACAAATACCCAATATACAGTAAAACACACTCCCTTAGTCCTCCTTGACAGTCTTCTTCTCAGGCCAACTGTTCATGTTGAGTCGTGACAACTCCAGTAAAACTGGCCATAAATGCTCTATCCAGGTATTTTATAGAATATCAATACTGGAAATGTTTAAAGACAAGAAAGCGTTGATCCATACTTGTACATGTGTATCTAATAAGAACAAGTTATATTACAGAATAATAATGTGGTCTTATCACATTCATGTATACTGAGTGAATATATTACTAATCTCAATTAGGTAGTTGGAATGCATAACTCATCGATAACACTAGGCTATAATGTTCAATGGCTGAGATATCTGGGTTTGAAATATTTTTCCTTTAATGCCAAAAGGTTCTTAAAGGCCCAGTGCAGTAAGAAATGTGATTTTCCTGTGTTTTATGAGATTGGAATAATACTGTGAAATTGTGAAAATGATAATGGACGTTTAGTGTAAAAGCTGTTTGATATTCTTGCTTGAGATTTTTTTTTTTACCATTTTCATTGAAAACAATCACAGTAAGGTACATAATTGTTACCCAGAAATAATTTGATATGGAGATAAAACAGCTGCATTGGACCTTTAAAACTTTGTTAAATAAACATGGTTTTGAATGGTTGTTTCATGGTTCTTATCATAATGTAGTACCAAAGCTGAGGAAATAATGCACACATTTAAACTTATCTTGTGCTGTCAGCAAGTCAAATCGCAAGTTAGTTTTATTTTTAGTGTAAATTACTGACAATGCAGTCACATTGGAGCACCAAATGTTATAGTACACACACCGTATATGAAACCTCGCAGTCATCCAACCCGCCTAGATACATTTAACTTAGTGTTTTCTACATTCAAAAAAACAAACATGAGTTTTCTGACTAAACTGGAATTGTGTCATGAGAAAACTTGCTCATGTTTCAAATGTTGCCATCATAACTGAACACACATGAAAGGCCACTTTGTGCAGGAGAGTCTGTGATGTCATCAAACTAACCATCTGATATAGATGCATTGTTTTTTTATTGCAAGACAACCAAAAACCTTCACCCCAATACTAATACTTATTAACCACAAAATACAGCATGGAGAAATATTACATTTAACATGGTTCCGCTTCCATACTGTATCTCTCAATGAGCAACTTACTTAAAACACCTAAATTAATGTTTACATAACATGATTTAATTCCACGCAAACAGGAAAGGAGGACCTAATGACGGCTTTAGCCTACAGTAACCTCAAAAACCAAACTGCTATAGTATTTTCCCCCTTTAAAAAAAGGGGAGTTCAAGATACTTGAGGGATCCAGTCACAGTCAAACACCACAAGATGGCTGCCACCACCATCCCTTCAAGACAGGAGAAAGTCAAATTTTGGACAGCCCATGGCATTACATTTATCCAGACTCTGACAGTAAACTTCTGGCAATTATCATCCGCATCACTTCATTTGTTCCTGAAAGGGAAAGGAAATATAAAAGCGTAAAACATCAGTAATTTGTCAGTGCAACAACAGTGGCTAGTGATCACAAGTTTATAAAGAGGTGTGCATTGCCACTAAAATACTTTTAACCATCTGTTATAAAGCACAATTTCACAAGGACAGCTTTGTCATGGTAAGCAAGGTGTGTATGTATATATATATGTGTGCCAGTAACCGAAAGGTCGCAGGTTCTAATCCCCGAGCCGACTAGGTGAAATCTGTCGATGTGCCCTTGAGCAAGGCACTTAACCCTAATTGCTCCTGTAAGTCGCTCGGGATAAGAGCGTCTGCTAAATGACAAAAAAATTAAAAAATGTATACCCTCCAGTATCTGGTGTACTCTGATGTCCCGGACAAACTGCTGAACAGCGTAGTCTTTGAGGTAACCGTATCCACCATGCATCTGGAGTGCCTGGTTACAGATCTGTTGAGAGGGCAGAGATACCGATCAGCTACATCTGATAGACTTCTACATCATTACCAGTGTGCAAGAGGAGACCACTTACAGTAAAACGTCCATTAAACGTTGAGTCTCAACAAGCACTGGTCTCTTTTAATGGCCGGGCATCGTTCCACATTTTAGCAAATAAACACTGGCCTATAACAAGCACTGGGTCCCAGAAAAGTGTCATAAAGCGAGCACTGTCTGCATTTTGCGGGTCTGCTGCAGTGAATCTCTACCTTGCGTTGAATGACTGATCCCTGCATGTCAAAACGCAAGTCTGCTGCAGTTTAAGCAAATACACACCCAGGCTAATAGCTAATGGAAGTTTTACAGTAAATACTAAAATAACACAGTATTTTCATATTTTTTTCGGATCTATCCCTAAGAACCATTTTAAGAGATAAAAACTAATATTGACTCACATTGAAGCACTCGTCAGTGACAAAGAGTTTGGCCATGGAGCAGAGGGAAACAGCGTCAGACCTGCCCTCCTGCAGTGCCAGGGCAGCCTCGCGCACCAACAGACGCGACGCCACTAGCTTGGTGGCCATCTCTGCCAACTTAAACTGCAGGAACTACAGAAGGAACCCAGAGGGAAACCGTCAAGAAACCCAGTATCAAATATCCTATTGGATTACTAAAGGTATTTCCCAATTCAAAGCTGTAGACTTGGTGGGATACTTACCTGGTTGTTGGAGAGGGTCTCTCCAAACTGCTTGCGTACTAACAGGTGATTTCTCGTCAGCTGTACACATGCATGGGCCGCCCCAAGAGAACAAGAGGCTGCAGTCAGATAAACCACATGTAAGTTAATGTAGCTGACATCTGAGCCTTGGTTGTTTTCAAAACGTGTGAAGTAAATGGGTTAAGCAAAACCAACTTGAGAAAAATATATAGATGGCCATCAAATAAACCATTGAAACAAAAGGTAAATCTGGTGCCATCTCACCAATATTGATCCTGCCTCCGTTCAGGCCTCTCATAGCGATGTTGAAGCCCTCTCCCTCATGACCCAGCCGATTGGTCACTGGGACGTGGCAGTCCTCTAAGATCACTGCTCTGGTTGGCTGAGAGTTCCATCCCACCTGGAGAGAGAGAATAGAGGCCTCAGTTGAAGAACCACTGCATCCTTCAGGGCTTCAACACAACTATGACACAACTATGCCCCCTGGTGGGCATGGCTTCACTTAGACATGAGGACATGAACTACAGACCATGTAAGTTTGTAGGTTCCTGCTTTACAGTTTATAAGACATAAGGATTGTATTCAAAATGACCAATTTAAGACAATATCAACATCAATAAAATGCCAGCTACCTTCTTCTCCTTCTTGCCAAAGCTGAGTCCTAGAGTGTCTTTCTCCACCACCACACAGGAGATCCCCTTGGGACCTTTCCCTCCCGTCCGACACATTACTATGTACACGTCTGTGTCTCCTCCTCCACTGATGAAGGCCTGCAGTAGGACACATATACAGTGAGACAGGAACTTCCACTTTATATCACAATTTATTATATCATATCAGCTATAGTACAGAGATTAATTAGAAACAGTACCTTGGAACCATTGAGGATATAATGGTCTCCTTCCAACTTTGCAGTAGTGAGTAACGAAGCAGCATCACTCCCACTGCCTGAAACGTGAACGGGAAATGAGATTCAATAAGACAAAAAGAGAATCAGAAATAAAACTGCTTCATAACCACATTATACAGGTTCATGGTGTCAATGCATGACACACTATCACATACTAGAAAGATTAGAACAAAATACCAACCTGGTTCAGTGAGACAATAAGAGGCAAACTTGTCCATCGTACAAAGCTCAGGGCAGTACTTCTCCCTCTGCTCAGTGTTGCCGAAGGTGTCAATCATCCAGTTACACATGCTGCACAGAAATGAGCATCCATTAATGAACACCCCATACATACACCAAACATCACCTATAGACATTTGACTAGATATTAATTAAAAGCAGGGGTATCTCTTGAGCAGACACTTTAGAGTTTGAATGTTGTGGTGAATGCTGGCATTGTCCAGGCCTTACTTGTGAATGCTGATGTAGGCTGTGGTGCTGACGCAGCCTGTTGATAAGGCCTCAAAGATGACAGAGGTGTCCAGGCGAGACAGGCCAGACCCCCCCACCTCTGGCTGTACATAGATCCCCCCAAACCCCAGCTGGGCAGCCTTACGCATGGTCTCCACCGGGAAGATTTCCTTAACAATAAAAAAATATGCTTTTTATGTTCAAATAAATGCCCTCACACACAAAAAGGGGATTAGTGATTGCAGAGGAGGCTGGTGGGAGGAGCTATAGGAGGACAGGCTCATTGTAATGGCTGGAATGGCATTGATGCAAAGGAGTCAAACATGTCCATATGTTTGATACCCTTCCATTGATATGGATTGGTTTAAAGGGAGTCCGATTTTAAAGTGGCTCAAAAATATAGCTAAACAATCTGCACTGCACAATTGTACCTTTTCATCCCACTCAGCCATGTGTGGAGACATTTCATTGGCTGCGAAGTCAAAGGCCATCTTCTGAAACTCCTTTTGTTCATCGCTGAGGCCATGAGAAGCTGCAAGGGAGAAGTTAAGAATAGAGCCTAGTGGTGTAAGACAATGGTAGTACTGTAGAGTAAGGCAAAATTACCAGAATCCTTTTAAACGTACTTTTTCACATGAAGAGAAATAGTTAAAACAACCATTGAACATGACACACGCCCTTACATCACATCCGTCCATGTCAACGTAGGTCAGGCCAGAACAGTGTTGCCATGTTCCGGCCAAATTGGGCTACTTTGAAAACGATGTCGTGGGTGAAAATGTATTGTTCGCGAGTTGCGGGTTTTTGGGCTATTTCTATGTTGCACCGCGGCCGCCATGGTTTTCTCTTAAAAAATGTAGATTTCACTGTTGCTGAGTGAGTGAAGAGACCCGGAGGGATACGTGTGTTGAGAGAGCGCTACAGTGATTGGCTGAGTCACGTGAACCAGAGGAGAGGGAGCAGCACGTGCGCACGTTGTGACAACTTTTTTACCAGTTGTAGGTAGGCTATTTAGATTGTCATTATGGAGGCACCTATTTCCAAACCTTTTTCCATAAAACATATTAATTAAGCTAGAACTGATGCACATCAATAAATAATGGAGACAAAAAAAGCACTCAATCGCTCCGAGGTGGTTTAAACTGCACTCTAATGTTGACTTTGCTTAAAGAAAACGGTATCAAGCGAAGTGTTTTATGCATGCTCAGTTCTTGGGTCTCGGGGGCTGCCCGAGTGGAAATTTTGGAAGTTATGGAACTCCCTCACGTGGTTCTTTTTATCGGGAAAAGGCCTCAATGAAACTGACATTAAATGTGGAGAATTATACATTTGCCTCTGTTGGTTATAAAGTAGCCTATTAATTGATATGCCAATTGTAGGCTACCATTTGATACAATAAATTTGTCGAAATGACTGGAGTCATTGTAAATCAATGTGCCACTTGTGTAGCCTACCTGGAGCTGGCAAACCAATTTAATAAATAGCCTATAACTTCAGTTTGTTGTTGTAGCCTTATGTTATTATGCAATTATTAATGGACATGTTTAGTTAATTAAATTGGAAGTTATCAAAGCTCTATCGCAATTGCCGATCAGTTGTTGAACGCCTTAGATTGGTGTAACAGTAGTCAGATTAGGCTAATAAAAATAAACACTGGCTGTTGTTGACAAGCATATTCAGTATATATTTATATTATTAATATTTATTTCAGTGATTGAAATTATGACCTATTACAGCAGGCTATTGGGAAACACAAGCACTTCTTACCTCGAAATCGCCTTGCTGTTCATGTTGAATAAATTCGTCTGTTTGAAGTAAGCAAGCTGCTAAATCGTTCAGTTTATATCTTGCCTACATCTTGTCTAGGCTACTGTAGACTATCTGAAATTAGATGTAGGTCTATCAGGGGCTATAGGCTACCTGCCTTCATCCAAGAAAACCATGGCATAGTTTAATTACAATCATAAACCCAGATTTTAGTCTGTAGCCTATGCCTTTTGAAATGACAAGTCAATCTTGCAAATTGGCCATAATAATAGCACAATTGCCAGAAAATAGCCTAACATTAGTTTATTTTCATCCAAGTGTTTCTTGCTCAAAGATTGAGATCCTCTGTCCAACTTTCATCACTCAAACTCTCCTGTCGGATTTATCTATAGTTAAACATGCACAAAGGGGATTTATTAAAAATTATAAACCTGATTAGCGCCCTGAATGCTGATTGGCTGAAAGTCGTGGTATTTCAGACCATATACCACAGGTATGACAAAAAAATATGTTTTACTGTTCTAATTACGTTGGTAACCAGTTTATAATAGCATTAAGGCACCCTGGGGGTTTGTGGTATATGGTCAATATACATCGGCAAACGAATGTATCCAGGCACTCCGTTTGGCGTAATGCTTAAGAACAGCCCATAGCCGTGGTATATTGGCCATATATCATACCCCCTTGTACGCCTTATAGCTTAATCATAGCAGTCAAACGAGTTAAATCGACATCCATTGATGGAAAATGATCTGGCGAGTTTAAGGGCAAATTATATTTTCTGTTGCGACATATTCAAATTCCTTTATTACGTCATGTTATTTTGAGGAAAACCGAATTTTGCTTCTAACGTCGTTACTAAGATATTCCTTCTTAATTGACTCGATAACGTTATGGAAAAAGGTTTTATTGTATAAATATGGCAACTCCTCTCTTGCTGAAAAAAACAACAACAATTTGTCTAGTCTTCAGGCCATTTGGGAAGGTTTTGAGTTGTCATTGTACAGATCATTTTAGCTGGACATGGCGTAGTACACACACCCCTGCCTCAGAGAGGTGGAAAGGAGCCATGGCCGTCCAATAGGAATCAAGTGGCTGTCCTCAAGCACGCCAGCCTGTAGACCACCATGCATTCTCATAATTAATACTGTTACAATGTATCAACACGACTACTTTAGCTGCAAAATAACGATTTGGAGTACCACTTGACAAAACACTCGACCAGAGGTTACATTGCTAGTTAGGTAGTATAACGTTAGTTGTTACTGTCTAACGTTACTAACAGAGGTCAATATGACTAACTAGTACTTAAGTAGCAATGCATTGCTGGAAAATGCACACTTAGCAATGAAAAACAAAACACTATCTGCAGTCAGTTACCTACTACAGTAGTCAGCTAACGTTAGCGAGTTTAGCGAGCTATTCAGCTCATCCCAACTAGCTAACGCGTCAGATGGCTAGTAGTGCAAGTCTGCATTACTCTACTAACTATTTTGAAAATCAAAATGCTTACGGTCAATGCACGAAGCTATTCCTCGGCTCTGTGTGCTGTTAAATATTAAACGGCGACTTCTGCCGATGCATGAACTCAGTCTGGCAACTCTAGATAACGTTCCCACGGCCGCCATGTTGGTTACTGGTTATATCACGCTGCTGCTGTAGGGAAATGTTCCATTACGCAAGATAAGTGTAGTTCTTAGATTGTGTAGTTCTTTTATTTATTTATTTTTGTTTTAACATTTATTTAAGTAGGCAATTCAGTTAAGAACACATTCGTATTTACAATGACGGCCTACCAAAAGGCAAAAGGCCTCTTGCTTAGTTTTCGTCTGTGCTTTTTCAGTAAAAGGCAAATTTTTCTCGTAATTTGATTAACCAGCGAAATATACCCTAAAGTCAATTGCTTGCCTAAACCATAGACATTAAGGGGGCCTAAACTGAGAAATCAACCGTAAGCGAATTGTTTCTACATCACGTGCTTTTGGCATACGTCACTAGCGCGGGAGTTCTTCATCATTCTGTCCTTCCTTTTGCAGTGTTCTGAGTTTTATGGTTCCGACCACTTCGATTTGCATCTTTATAACATACCAGTAAGTAACAATGTAATCCTTCGCATAATTAACAGATTTAATGAAACACGTTCTTTTTTGTTGTTGCTGTAAATCGAATGTCACCTACTGTCACGCACGAATGGTTAGAGATCATTGGAATCGGATTTGAAGATTCTAGTTCTTCCAAGCCAACCACTATTTCTTCATCTCTCAGACATGGCACCTAAAATGAGAACCCGTGGAACCACAAGAACACTACAATCCAGTAAGTAAAAGCGTTCACATTTCTGTGCATTGAATGACATGCAATTGCAAGGTTTTTCAACATCCCTGACACTTTCACACTACCAGTATGATTTGATTTTCGAATGGCTATTAATAAGTGAATGTATTCTATGTACTTTTACCCAGGCAACGATGAAGAGACAAAAACTAATGTCCACAGTGAGGACTCTACATTGGAGGTTGGTCAGGCAGTCAGGGGGAAGAGGAAAGCTTCAGGTTCAGGGAAGACTGGAAAACAGGAGAGTTCAAAGGGAGAAAAATCACCTGAAGGACCACAGTACTGTCACTGGCTGATGAAGTCAGAGCCAGAGAGCCGCTTTGAAAATGGCATAGATGTCAAGGTATTCTGTTCTCCTTAATAATAGGATGGTGTCATCTGTTTCAAGACCTGTTGCTCAAAAGTGATGTCTTGTTCAGGATAAATTATATCTAGGCTGTTGTTACCAACTCAGAGGCTTTGTGGTTAATGTGTCCCCCTTAGATTGGAAGGTTGGGGGTTCTATCCCCTGTCAAGTCATACCAAAGACTCAAAAAATGGAAACCGATGCATCTGCTTGGCTTTCAGCATTAAGGAGATGGATTGGGAGTAAGGCCCTGCGACAGACTAGCATCCTGTTTAGGGGGTATACTTGTACATCAAGCTGCCTAACAATATACAGAAACAGGAGATAGGCCCCTGCCCTATGGGTCGTTATGGCTTGTTATGGCTTACTTACTTTTACTATGTCACAGTTTGGGATCGAGGATCTGAAGACTCTTCCCAACCAAACTGGGTGTTGGGATGGTGTTCGGAACTACCAGGCCCGTAACTTCATGCGAGACATGAAAAAGGGGCAGCAAGCATTCTTCTACCACAGCAACTGCAAGGAGCCTGGAATAGCTGGAGTTATGAAGGTCAGCCTCTACCTCTTCCTATTTCTGTTGGTAATATACACTGTGTTTCAGGTATGGTGCCTCTCACCTGCTTTCTCTTTTTCAGATTGTAAAGGAGTCCTATGTGGACCAGACTCAGTTTGACAAGAAAGATGTCCATTATGATGCCTCCAGCAAGGCAGACGACCCCAAATGGAGTATGGTATGAATGGTTTAATGTTTACATTTGTTAATGTTCCAAATGGCTTGAGATCAAGATACATCACTGATATGTAACAGGCTTTTTATCGCAATCCAATTTAAACCGTATTAGTGCTTTGCTGGCTTGTTTCATGTTTGACTGCCAGGTTGATGTCCAGTTTGAGAGGATGTTGAAGCGCTTCATTCCTCTGTCTGAGTTGAAGAAGATCCACCTGCAGCACAAGGCCAAAGGCGGGCCCCTGAATGGCATGGCTCTCTTCACCAGGGCCAGGCTGTCTGTCCAGCCCCTCACCAGTGGTATGTGGAGATCAGTGTCACTGAATAATATGGTTGTCAAATCATGGTTTACAAAGCTTTTGTGTAAGTAAAATCATACCTTTTTATTTTTTTCTCAGAGGAATTTGACTTTGTCCTGAGTTTGGAGGACAAAGACCCACTGTGAAGATTTTGACAAGATGACCTGGAGAGAATAGTTTTCCTGTCTTGTGTATGATGATGCAGCTGCTAATATGTTTACTGTAGGTGACGTCTATTGAACTATTGTGCTTGTATTGAATGGAAATTGTCTCAAGGTTTCTGTGTTTGTCAAGAGACACACTGGAATTTATTTCTAATATTAGAGGTTTATAAAATTAAGACAGTTCATGTGTTTGCCTTCACTGTCTAAAGGGGATCAATTCGGTCTAAACATGCAGAATTTTCATTTCCAAGAGTAAAGGCAATCAAATCATTCCATCAGTCCATTGAAATATTTATCAGGTGCACACATTAACTTATTCCTATACCAAAACGAGTCTGTGGATAACAATGCATTTGGCATCAATAGATTAGTAATTTGCAGAGCACAAAAAATACAGGAAAACCTCAGGCTAAAAGATGGGTGTTAAACGTATTGAGGCAACAGGATTTCATTTGCTAGATACACTTAGGCACGACATTTCAAGTCTAACATGAAATATACAGAAGACTTCTTACTATCAGACCTCAAATACAAGCACCTAAAATCCCTGCCTAACACTATTGGAATGCTTAGGTAAAGCATGTGAATGGAATGGTCATATTGTAGCACCGTCTGTATGCTTTTCACTGTATGACGGTTTAACGGCATAAGAGGGTGAGATTCAATAGCTCTTATTTGCAGGATAAAAAAATTAATGGGTTAGTAATACTTTATCCAGCCCTCTCACTCAACAAAGAAATTAGACACAATGCAATAGAAACCTTCCATTGATCTCACTGTGCAATCATTACACAAGGACTGAGAGAATGTGTATGCGGAGGAGCGATGTATACATATCAGTGCAAAGTTAGAATTTCAGATTTCATTATGACAGACCAAATCAAAATGTCAGGAATGCATTTGACTGGGTATGGAATGTTTTCAAAATGCATCGCTGTTACTCAGGATTTCAACTCCCTATGACCATACAGTTTTGTATACGGAGTTAGAATCCATTCATATATAAAGCTAAAGCTAGAAATATATATTTTGTGACAAAGAAAGTTGATCATTTGAAGATGACTGATAATTGTATAATATTACATTTTTGGGGGTATCACGCACAGGGGGAGATCTAAACAAGTGGCCGGCTTTACTTTCACTGGATATGTGTGTTGATGATGAGGGAGTTGACCTGCAGTGGAATTTTAGGCCCCTGTAATACCTCATGCAGGCTTCTTTTTCATTGTTCAGGTGTTTACCTCCAGTCTTCCCTTCATCCCTTTATTCAGCAGCCCTAATAAATAGAGGGCTACTTTATCAGTGATCATGTGAGCTGACAGATGCCCCCACTACTTTTCCGCAGACACTGCCAGTCTTCTGTGAGGAGAATGAGTGGAGGCAGCTTTAGCCGCTGTCCTCCCTCGCCGCCTTCTCCAGAGCACTCTCCGAACTGGCTGAGCCCTCGAACCGCTGGGCTCCGATGGTGGCCTGGGTCGACATGCTCTTTCTCACCACATCCCCTTTCCTCCACAGTGTGATTTCCTGGAGAAGAAGGAAGTGGTCTTGAGCTCATTGTCTTAAATCACTAAAGCATTTCCATAGGGACACATTTAATGCTAGATAGGAATGCAATATATAAGGTGCAGCACAGTGGATACACCATGTTGAACCTGACACCTGATAAATTCCCTCTAAGGGCACACAATTTATCTGGGATCACTGCTAACAGTTACCCATCAGAAGCCCCTGTTCCATACCTGCTGTTTGAAGTAGCGTCTTTCCTCCTCATCAATCAGCACCAGATTAAGGTAGTAACGCACAGAGAACTTCTTATTGATGTCTCGCATTGTGGGGGTCATCTCATAGCCAGCCAGAAACAACCGGATTGGAATTGACTCTCCTTAAACATAATAAAAACACTCAGTCAGACCTGATGTGTAGTTTGAGCATTGCCATTTTCAAAAGCATACAATCCACTTCACTATATCCTTTACCCCGAACAGGAGCCCCATCCATGATCTCATATTTGGCGATGGTGTCATTTTCGTGGTATACACTAGGACCGGTGCCAGTTGTCTCCCGTTTGATGATGTCAATTTCCATGTGCTTGATCTTAATCCGCACCAGCAGGAAGTAGATCTTACCCACAATGACGTCTTTCAGGTGGTACCTGTAGAAGACAGGAGAGATCGTCACAGGGCTGCTATGCCACATAGACAATACATAGTCAAAGGAAAGGTTCTAAGCTACAATGGTTTCTGCATGTTCCTGTAACTAGGAGTGGTGGCATTTTGTTATTTTATAAATTGAGTAAAACATTTAGGTGACTGAGGGTGTTGAAAAAATAATCTCTTTCAGCCTTACTTGGATTTGTTGTACTCAAACTCAATGTGGAGACAGTCTTCGATCCCAACTTCCATTTTTATTGACGAGTTGAGCTCTGGGTACGTGCTGAGTGTGTGCACCACGATATCCATCTCTTTACTGATGTCATTCAGTCTCCTGCTCACTGTGGCACGCAGAAAATACCTGCAAGTACAACCAACAGACACTGAGCAAACCTGCTGTAATCTCAACAGATGTCATCCAACAACATATCCTCATTGCATTCTGAGGCTATAAAAGAAGATGGTCATTATCACAACCAGTAATTATGATTTGTGTGTGTGTAATGCAAGACATTGAGCATGTGAAGCACCCAAACATTTCTCTTGATGAGGAAGTAGTGCTAGGCATGTGACCAACAGGTCAAAGGTGAACTTGGGTTAAAGAGTGAGACATAAAGTAATAGTTATTTTGGCAGAGAATGTTCAGGCTGAATGTTTCCTTACCGTAGCTTCACATTCTGGCCTGTGTAGGTCTCATAGGGCTTCTCAACATGGGTGAACTCAAAGTCGAAGGTCTGTGACTGAGTAAGCTCACCAGGCCTAGCCAGATCTTTCACCAGGGAGACAAACTCATGATGGTTTCCTCTGTCGTAGTACAGCTCTGTGAAGGAAGGACAGGTATACACTTCAGATATTCAAAGAAACACACATCGCAACAGAATCACTCCCTCATAGAATAATGCATCTAGGCCTATTGGCCCATATGACACTGTTGTTGATCAAAAAGTCCAACATAAAAGGGGCCATTGCATTTATTATGATTCATTTGGAATAGATGTCTCTGCATTAAACTAAGATGAATACTCACCAATCTGGCCTACAAATTCGATTTTTATCCCTTGATGTTCCAGTCTTTTCCCAGGGTTCTTCAGTGTAACGTTGACCTTTCCAGCCACAGTCTCCCCGTCATAAAATAGGAAATATTTGTCCTTCTTCCCATCTTCAGTCTTATGTTCAGCCTTCTTTCTCGTCTCAGCATCAGTCAGAACTACATCAATTTCTGCACTTTGGCCAAAACTGAAGAAACTCATGCTTGTGTTCTTTTCTGTGCCGTTTTATGAACAAGGTTAAGATTTAGCGTATCTGAACAGATCTTTTAAGACCAATTTAGGTGACACTTTCAGTGCCCTATTTCTTACTAAAGTAAATTAAGTCGTTCATTCGAAATGACGGAAAGCGCAAAAACACCAACTTGTTTGTTACCAGCAATGATCACAGAACGTAGTAATTCTGGGAAGTGGAAAAATATGCAAATGTTAGCGTTATTTTACCTTTATATTTATTCTAAAATTCAATTCAATTACATACAGCACCATGTCTTCGTATCCCTATAGATTAAAGAAATAGCCTAAATACTACAAAACATGTCGCATAGTGATATCCACAAACACTGAAGAATGTTGCGTTTCCCTAGTACTCAAGATGTATCCGTCATTCATCGACACCGATTAACAATGTGGTGAGTCTTGATTGTTTCCTTTAGAATGTTATTCGCGTTGAATAGTTACATTTTACCTTTCCTGAAATAGCATAATGTTGCAAGCGATCATTTCCTATGATTTTGCACTTCCGGGGTTGTCTGGCTTGACTGCATTATTTTTCAAAATAAAAGTTCAAACTCTTCTGTAGTCATTTGCAAATAAAAAGTCCCAACAATACAGTAAATACAGTTACTTATGTTATGTCTTTATTGACAAAATGAAGTAAACATATAACAGTATCCATTACTTGCACTACAACGAATGAACAATTAAGATTTTGCAACAGTTCCTGAGTAGTGTTATTTTACAAACAAAGAATACCAATGAAAAAATAACCATATCAATAATGTTTCAAAAAGTCATTTTTAACAATTTCAATTTGAAACATTGTTTAATACTTATGATGTATTGTTACTGATAAAAATGTATGTGTAGACATTTGTTTCTAACAAAGTTGTATTGCCTGTACATCCATTAATATTGTATATTGTGTCCATAAAGAAAATACAGTTAATTGTGAGTCAAAACTGGACAATATGTCCAATACTCATAAAGTAGGTAATTAGTAAGCACAGAAGGTCACTTATACACAGAAACGGCACTCTGAAAAAAAATCATAATTACTTGATCTAATCATAATAATACATCTTAAATTGCAGCATTATACTGGGATTATATTGTATAACTGTAATATGTTTCTGTTATTCTGAACGCAGAGAATAAAGTTAGTTGGCTTTATTAAGCACAACAGACTGTTTCCTTGTGCCCCTTGACTCTGCATGTAACAGATTTCATCAGCTTTTTATACATGCCCCACTCATTGTCTGTATGTATACAGTATATACACAAATATTGACACAACCTTCCTTCATATTAACATAAACCAGTCAAGCTTGCATTCAGAGGTTATGCAAGACTGTTTTTGTCAAACAAGTTTGGTGTATTTTGTAGACATTTTAGGAAGTAAAAAATCATTGTTTGTCCAAAAACAGTAGGGGGGAATGTTCCAGCATCAATTGAGATGAACATGTTGGTGGAAGTTCAAAAGTCAAAGCTTTAAAATCGTACTGTAGTTGTAGTTACAGTAATGACTGAGGACAAAACATATTTGTGCTGCAAAAAAAAAAGAAGTGTACTAACAGGGACATGACGTTGCAATTGCCTATCAGAAAGCAATATTGAAATAATGATTGATATTTTTCATGATGATAACTTTGGCAAGCTTGTAGGTTCATTGTTGATGCGCACCAGAAAATAATGTGCAATGTTACAGCTCAAATTTCTCACACGAAGCCCCATTGTGGGATTTGATGCGCTTTTGACTTCAGTGTGTCTCCTCTTCAGTGTTTCTCCTCTTCAGTGTGTCCCCTCTTGACGGTCTTCTGTCTCAGATGTCAAATAATAAATGATGATTTGTGGCGGAAGTGACCCTGATAGAAATGGGAATGTAAATTATCAAGAAAATACATCCACCTGCAGTTGATGTTTCTTTTTGTTTGTCATTTTTAATAATACATTATGATCACATTTTATCTCAATAATAATATAGAATATAGAAAACAGAATTAAGTTAATTTTATTCACCTCATCTGCTTCGGCATAGTCAACACCATCATCCTGCGCTGGAAGTTTGTAGCTAAAACACACACAAAAAATCCTTAATTTCCACACAAAGACTTACTAAGCAATTCACAGCACATACAGTGGGGGAAAAAAATATTTAGTCAGCCACCAATTGTGCAAGTTCTCCCACTTAAAAAGATGAGAGAGGCCTGTAATTTTCATCATAGGTACACGTCAACTATGACAGACAAAATGAGAAAAAAAAATCCAGAAAATCACATTGTAGGATTTTTTATGAATTTATTTGCAAATTATGGTGGAAAATAAGTATTTGGTCAATAACAAAAGTTTCTCAATACTTTGTTATATACCCTTTGTTGGCAATGACACAGGTCAAACGTTTTCTGTAAGTCTTCACACACTGTTGCTGGTATTTTGGCCCATTCCTCCATGCAGATCTCCTCTAGAGCAGTGATGTTTTGGGGCTGTCGCTGGGCAACACGGACTTTCAACTCCCTCCAAAGATTTTCTATGGGGTTGAGATCTGGAGACTGGCTAGGCCACTCCAGGACCTTGAAATGCTTCTTACGAAGCCACTCCTTCGTTGCCCGGGTGGTGTGTTTGGGATCATTGTCATGCTGAAAGACCCAGCCACGTTTCATCTTCAATGCCCTTGCTGATGGAAGGAGGTTTTCACTCAAAATCTCACGATACATGGCCCCATTCATTCTTTCCTTTACACGGATTAGTCGTCCTGGTCCCTTTGCAGAAAAACAGCCCCAAAGCATGATGTTTCCACCCCCATGCTTCACAGTAGGTATGGTGTTCTTTGGATGCAATTCAGCATTCTTTGTCCTCCAAACACGACGAGTTGAGTTTTTACCAAAAAGTTCTATTTTGGTTTCATCTGACCATATGACATTCTCCCAATCCTCTTCTGGATCATCCAAATGCACTCTAGCAAACTTCAGACGGGCCTGGACATGTACTGGCTTAAGCAGGGGGACACGTCTGGCACTGCAGGATTTGAGTCCCTGGCGGCGTAGTGTGTTACTGATGGTAGGCTTTGTTACTTTGGTCCCAGCTCTCTGCAGGTCATTCACTAGGTCCCCCCGTGTGGTTCTGGGATTTTTGCTCACCGTTCTTGTGATCATTTTGACCTCACGGGGTGAGATCTGGCGTGGAGCCCCAGATCGAGGGAGATTATCAGTGGTCTTGTATGTCTTCCATTTCCTAATAATTGCTCCCACAGTTGATTTCTTCAAACCAAGCTGCTTACCTATTGCATATTCAGTCTTCCCAGCCTGGTGCAGGTCTACAATTTTGTTTCTGGTGTCCTTTGACAGCTCTTTGGTCTTGGCCATAGTGGAGTTTGGAGTGTGACTGTTTGAGGTTGTGGACAGGTGTCTTTTATACTGATAACAAGTTCAAACAGGTGCCATTAATACAGGTAACGAGTGGAGGACAGAGGAGCCTCTTAAAGAAGAAGTTACAGGTCTGTGAGAGCCAGAAATCTTGCTTGTTTGTAGGTGACCAAATACTTATTTTCCACCATAATTTGCAAATAAATTCATTAAAAATCCTACAATGTGATTTTCTAAGAAAAAAATTTCTCAATTTGTCTGTCATAGTTTACGTGTACCTATGATGAAAATTACAGGCCTCTCTCATCTTTTTAAGTGGGAGAACTTGCACAATTGGTGGCTGACTAAATACTTTTTTCCCCCACTGTACCATGTCACTATTAAACTGGTCCAGCTTTAAAAGCCCTGTATTCAACCTATCTCCTACTCGGGTTAATAAATAAATAAATAAATAATCTATTTTCTATTATTATCTATATTACTATTATTATCACTGCATTGTTGGAACGAGCTCTCATGGTAAGAATTTCACTGTACTGTTTTACACCTGTTGTATCCTGTGCACGTGGCAAATCAACTTTGAAACTACATAGCCCTACTCACTTGGTTCCTGTGTGATCCTTGCCGGAGGAGAAGCAGCCATGTTTGTGTGCATGACAAACTGCCACCATCACAATTATGAATCCGGCCAATGCCGCCAACACCTTCAGAAAAATCCCCACGATGTCAACATCATCTGAAAATACAAGCAGGGCATTTTGAGATGAGATCTGGGTGACATAAACCCAAATTTAAACAACTTAAAAGCAGGGATCATCAACTAGAATCAGCCGCAGCACAATTTCTTTATTGAGCATATGGTCAGGGCGCCGGAACATAATGTTAAATAATTTGTAGACTGCGAATTGACTGCAAGATGCCCAATCAGATACACTACCAGTCAAAAGTTTGGACACACCTACTCATTCAAGGGTTTTCTTTATAAAAAAAATATATATATTGTAGAATAATAGTGAAGACATCAAAACTATGAAATAACACATATGGAATCATGTAGTAACCAAAAAAGTGTTAAATAAATCTAAATCTATTTTATATTTGAGATTCTTCAAATTGCCACCCTTTGACTTGATGACAGCTTTGCACACTCTTGGCATTCTCTCAACCAGCTTCACCTGGAATGCTTTTCCAACAGTCTTGAAGGAGTTTCCACATATGCTGAGCACTTGTTGGCTGCTTTTCCCTTCACTCTGCCGTCTGACTTATCCCAAACAATCTCAATTTGGTTGAGGTCGGGGGATTATGGAGGCTGCACTCCATCTGATGCAGCACTCCATCACTCTCCTTCTTGGTAAAATAGCCCTTACACATCAAGGCAAAGGGTGGCTATTTCAAGAATCTCAAATATAAAATATATTTTGATGTGTTTAACACTTTTTTGGTTACTACATGATTCCATATGTGTTATTTCATAGTTTTGATGTCTTCACTATTATTCTACAGTGTAAAAAATAGTAAAAATAAAGAAAAACCCTTGAATGAGTAGGTGTGTCCAAACTTTTGACTAGTATTGTATAATATTTCTAATATAATATAATAACGTTTGGGAACCCTGACCTAAAGGAATGACCTTGGAATGCATGTCCATGTCAACCACTATGATTTATGTACACTAGAGTAGATGCATGTGACTCACTAGCAGGTTTGGTAATGCACAATGGTATGTTCAGTGTAGCAGAGGTATGACACACTGACATATTTCAACACAATACATAGTCGCAGTTAGAATGTCAGTTGGGTGTTTAGTACAGCATGGCCTACTCACACACTTCCATCAGCTGTGCGGTACACTGTGCATGTCCAGCTTCATTCTTTGCCTGGCAGTAATACTCCCCCGCATCCTCCTTCCTCATCCGGCGGAATTTCTGCAGGGACAAACGCCAAAATCAACCCCAATACATCATACAGCTTTTCTCTTGTACTAACATCATCCAACAGTTGGACCTACTGTCTCATTAAACATGATATTCATATATCTAGTTTCCGTTCGACCTCCCAGTCCTATTGATTCCTTACCAGACCACCTGTGTCAGCGTTAAGGGAGTAGGTGGAGTTGATAAACTTGGGGCTGCTCTTTGGGTCCTGGGGAAGCTCCTCGTTGTTGTGGAACCAGCGGTACACTGAGGCAGGGAAGCCCTCGTTCTCCAGGCAGCGCAGCTCAGAGGACGTGCCAACAGTCACCGCCACAGGCACACTGCACCTGGGCACCACAGGCTTTACTGCAGAGACAGAAGAAGAAGAGGAAAAATAAGAAGATTTCTAATTGTACACAAAGGTCCAACTGGAATTCGACTTCCTCTTTATACCAACTGCTCCGGAAGACACATACACATAGGCAAAGGGCAGAGGCCATACTACGGCACCCATGGAGCAGTTTTTGAGAGCGAGGGAGCACATAACATAGTATTTACTTAGAAATAGACAACAACACTGAAAAAACACAGCAAACTACTACAGGCTTAAAATGTCTGTCAACAACACACCTAACACTGAGATTGACCAGCGGACACGCATATCTCAGGCCAATGACAAGGTGGGAGCTTTGCATTGGTTAAGTGACACGGGAATATGAAAATACGTCCTCACCCCTGACAGCAAGACTGATTAGAATTTCATCAAAGTGTTTGTGGTCATCAATGGCAGCGACCTCACAGCGGTACTCTGCAGTGTCTGTACGGCTGGTGTTGAGGATCAGTAGGTTGGCTGGCTGGATCAGCTGGGCTCTGTGCTCCAAGTCCCCTAATAGAAGCAAAAACACACTCCAACCTCTCATTCACTTACAGAGAATAATAACAGTTCTGAGGCCAATATGGTATTGGTAAGGTGCTTAAAAAAGTATAATCTTACCCGAAATTTGATTTTGAAAGTAAACATAACTAGGGATGCCGTTTTTGATTTTCTTCCATTCGATTCTGGGGTTGTTTGTTGAGATGGACTCTATCAAGCAGGTCAACTCAATAGCTGGAAAGAAAACAGTGATACTACAATGTCAAAACACTGGCAGACAACAGATGAGCCTGGCAGACAGACAGGCAATGGAAGAAAAATTATTCTGAGAGAATGAGTCAGTGCTTCAGTGACTTACGTTCAAATTCATTTGCCCACACAGTCTTGTCTGTGGTTCGGAGGATTACCCCAAGTGATGGAATGTAGCCTGTAAAAGACCACAAATAAGTGAGAAAAAAAATGCAGACTGACAAGCTTCAGAATTTTCATCAAGGACAGTACCAATTTGGCCCAATGCCCATTTAAACAGATATGCCTAAATGACTAGAGGATCAGGAGGTGTAGGCCTATAGCTACAGAGGGTGAGAAAGAGCCTTAGGGTCAGGATTAACCATATCTCCGGAAGCATTTCTCATGTCTATATAAGACGCAAGTCCCAATATTACTCAGTGTTGTTTCCTTACTTCTAATTCTACAAAACACTCTCAAATTAAATAATTGGGAGATATACTTAGGGAGGCCTAAGAGTTACTAAAATAACACACTGTGAGTAATGAAAACAGTCCCTCCTATGTGGGAGTCAGCGATATTAAGGACTCCTAATGAGGGGTGAAAACAGACTTTAATGTATTGCAGCACAATTCATCCGAGTGTATTAAGCACTTCCACGGTATAATCCAGACAGATAAAAGTACTCTGTGGTAGGGCTGTTAAGGTGACCGTATTACCGCCACACCGGCGGTCACGAGTCATGACAGCAGTAAAATTCCACATGACCGTTTAGTCACTGTAATTAGGCTTCTCCAAGCTCTGATGCTGCTGATGGTCATTAGTAGCCTACCAAACTTGCTAACTACCTTGTACTCAGCACTCTATTGTCCCTCTAACCACTCTGAGATCAATGCAAATATAATCGAAAATCTAATCAAACACTTCATGAGTGCCCATGAGCTCATGTTGCGCAACATTTCTATAGGCTATGCAATTGCGTGAGAAAACAGAGTTTTGATGGCCTCAATTAAAAAGAGGAGGATCCCATCAGCTTTCTATAGGCTAGGCCTACTATATTTATTTCTCAACTTTCCTAATATTAAGCACATTGCTTCTCTTTACAACAGGCAAATCTGTCTGGCATGAAAATTAACCACAGGAAAAGCGTCTTCCATTCGCTATTTAAGTGCACAGATTACATGTATTTTTTCCCCTGCCCCTGTTTTGAGACAGGTGCATGATAATGGTCCACTCTAAATCAAAACAAATGTCATACATATATTATTTAGTATATGTAAAGACAAGATTAAATCAAGAATAGTCTGATAGATGACAATATTAGTCTATCACTTGTGAATGATATATTATCACTTGTGAATGATGCCCAGGTTGTGTGCAGTAAGGCAAGAAACAGCACATTCCTTTTTTTGGTGACTTTTTCAAATCATAGTCGCACACCTCATGTAGCCCATAGGCCTATATGTTTTGATAAGGTTTGTATCACAACTAAAGTGGCCAGATAACTTCTTAAAATTAAGCACATTAATCCGCTTTACAACGGGTGTAGAGCCTAACTGGCATACATACGCAGAGTGTGAGTTTCGAGTTTGGGGAAGATAATTTTCACCATAAAAATGCACCTTTATAATAAAAGCAATACATGCATTATCGCATTTGCAGTCACTTTTGAGAATGGTGTTTTCCCGATAATTGATTGCATTTTGGGACATTCGCACTTATAGCCTACTGCTGTGTGCGCATTGCTGCGCTTATAATGTGAAGAAATAGCCTAATAGTTTATCATCATTTTAGGCTAAGGTTCTGATTTGTTGCATCAGCCTCATTGCTTATAAAAGTTTTTTTGGTGCTAGTGGTTGTATTAATTTGGCATATATCGCATCCCACAACTGTCCCAGACTATGTTTGGAATATTTTTTCCTCGCACAGAATAGAATAGGTCAACTTTTGTACTATGGGGGATAGTAGATTGACATAGGTTAGTGCTTTTGCTGTTTCTTAGGCCTACTCATCTTGTTAGCTGACGAAAAGTAAATGTGGACAGTTCTTCCAATATCTTCAATATGCGCCTTGGAATTGGATAAGGACGCGCGCAGTTGCGTCCCCGATGTGTCTGTCCTCACTTGTAGCCTGTGAGAAAGACCCGATCACGTGACGGGCATTGGCTAATAAGAATTGAGCTATCTGAGAGAGCCATATCAGTGAGAGGTGCTTCGGAGCACGCAGCCAGGAGAAGGGAATTATAATTATTATATTCAGTCCAGGGGCAAAACAGCCACAGGCCACAAAATACATGGATTTTCTTAGGGGGCATTACAGCCACAAAGGTGATGCCGGTGGGAAATTCGAGGCATTATCAAGTGCTTGTCAAATTGTGAATGAGAGATGCGCAAAAAACTAAGCAGAGCTCATGCCTTTCATTAGACTTTTTTCAAATCATCATTAGAGTCGCATCATGCAGCCTTAGAATGTATTAAAAATCTAAACATATAGCCCAACGTTTGTATCACAACTAAAGTTGCATAAATAACTCTAAATTAAGCATATAGGAGGACCTTTTTCTTTGTTAACCACTCAACACAGCCGCATGTGCGCACAATAGCCGCATGTGCGCACTCCCTCAAATTGTTTGGAGAAAATATCCTTTCTATTTTATTCAGCTATGTTCAATTGTAAAATAATATAAAATCATACCATGGAATTCTAAGCAAATCTTTTCTGCTAAATGAACTAGTGTAGCCCACAACCATATGGCATAGCCAGATCAGGGCCTAACATAAGGACAACTCAGAGTATGCTATTCTGTTCTTCTGAAATAGACTACATTTTCCTCATATCATGTTTCTTTAGAACTGTCTAAAATAAATAATGGATTTATTATGATGGTGTAGGCTATATTACATGAATTTATTATACTTTTTAAAATGTAGATGTTCCAAAGGTCTGCATCAGTAGCTTGTAGGCTATGCGTGGAAGCCAGGAGATGCTAAATGTGTTTATGTTAATTAATGGTCAATTACCATGATACATGCAATTATTTGCTTGACAATCACCGGCTGACAACATTTCATGACCGCCACAGCCCTACTCTACGGCTGAATTAAAACGTCTCTGGTTCACAATTCATGATGTACATGAAATACAATTCAGCCAGCACTGAGAGTGGAGAAAACATGGGTCCTGCCAAAGTGGAGCACACAGTCATATTAGCACAGCTGTGGACGCTGATGAGATCCGACTCTCAGGTCTCAGCTTCCGTCTCTGCGGCTGACTTTCCCACCCCTGTACATCATGAGCTATTTTTACACCAAACAGTGACTGGCCATCCTGAGAGACACGAGGAGAGCTTGTCCAGCAAATCTTCCCCTGGTAAACAGAGCAGGGACAGCCAATCCCTGTAAAACCACTAATGAACCTTCAATTCCTTTACAATGTGCTAAGACTGTAGATAATATGAACTACTAGACTATAAATAGCTTAAACTACATGCCTTTATACTAACTCTCCTCCTTTTTTGCTGCCTACAGACAGACAGACAGACAGACAGACACTTCTTGTCTCATTGTATATTTTAAGTGTCCAAGCTTCACTGTGTCCCTGCCTGCATGAGGCTTTGTTGTCCCAGACAGTTTTTAGACCGTGGGAGAGAATCTGTGGTTAATTAAGAAGACAATGGCTGATTTGCTATTGTGTGCCTGGAATAAAAGCATTCCATAGCCGAAAGCCCTACTTTACACTGTGTAGCCTACATAAAGAAAGGGACCTATGTGTTTATGTGAAGAATTTAATCAGAACTGGAATGTTGTCTGACAGTAGATAGATAGAAATGTGGCATATGTTGTTGGTGAATATTAGAGTCTCTCTCTCTCTCTCTCTCTCTCTCTCTCTCTCTCTCTCTCTCTCTCTCTCTCTCTCCTCCGTTGTTTTAATACATACAGTATAGAGACAGTAGGCTATACCCTGAGTGAAATGCTCTCTAAGTTACATAGCCATTCTACAGTTCTCTTTATGCACTTCTTGCTAAATATGAAAACAACATAAAAAAAAACAAAAAAAACAAGCTGTTGATCCAGTGCATCTAAAAAAAGCCATTTCCCAGACATTCCAGCACAGCCACTGTAAAAGCAGCCAAATAACTTACCAACATTGAAACTGGCCAAATGCAGTAGACTAGTATGTGAATAAAACTGTAATGATCAGTCAATAACACACAGAGACTGACTTAACATTAGCTGTCTGACCTGTAGTTGCAGCAGTAATGTTGACAAAAGACAATGTATTCAAAACCTAGATAGTCCTAGTGAAGTCTTCCTGAATGCACTGCCGCTGTCAGAGTGCTACTTTATCAAATCAAATTGTATTTGTCACATGCTTTGTAGACAACAGGTGTAGACTAACAGTGAAATGCTTACTTACGGGTCCTTTTCCAACAATGCAGAGTTAAAGATATGAGAAAAAATTGAAATAGTCACACAGTGAATAACGAATAAAAATAATGAGCAAAAATAACATGGCTATATATAGGGAGTAGAAACTAACATGGCTACAGTGAGGGAAAAAAGTTTTTGATCCCCTGCTGATTTTGTACGTTTGCCCACTGACAAATACATGATTAGTCAGGTAGTCCGGGTAGCCATTTGATTAGCTATTTAGCGGTCTTGTTTAGACGTTTTATGGCTTGGTGCTAGAAGCTGTTTAGGGTCCTGTTGGTTCCAGACTTGGTACATTGGTACCGCTTGCCGTGCGGTAGCAGAGAGACTTTAGCAGAATAAAATAGCTCACACAATGAACTGTAGGCCTACCTGACAGCCTGGATGGAAATAGCGGTTGACATCATCACTTTGAGTGACAGTTGAAGAGAGCTCAACGTTAGAAGATACAAAAGCAGTGTTTGTGCAACCTGTTCTCTCTTTATTTAAATATGAATGGAAAAACTGCTGAGGATTGTGTGAGCGTTTCAAAGTCATCATAACGCATGTATAAATAAATGAATTACCATGTAATAATTTTGTGGCTCATCCTCAGCATGTTTACACCCGGCCAAGCTATGCTAGGAAGCCCGTCTAGTCAGCCCGATCATTTCCATAACAAAGCATCACTGTGATTTAATAAATTGCAATGCATAACACGTACCGTTAAACTACACCTTATCTTAGTGGAAATGAAAATAACTTACCGAGAATCGAGTAAAGGATTA